AGTTAGTAGTGCCGGGATTGGTGCAACTAGTAGTGGTGCAAAATTGATGTAGCCAGTAGTCAAGAGATTGGTGCAGTCAGTAGCACGGGGAAAGGCGCCATCAGTAGTGCAACGGTTGGTGCAGTCAATAATGCACGAATTGATGAAGTCTGTAGTGCAGAAATTGGTGCAGACAGGAGTAATGAGTAGTGTGGAGAATGTATGCACGTGTCAGCAATGCAGAACTTTAATGTGTTATTTAGTACATATATTGGCGCAGTAATTAGTGCAGGGTTGGTACAGTGTCAGTGGTGTTACTAGTGTGAGATACACTTAAAACCTAGTATATATGAAAGTATTCCCTTTGGCTATATGAGCATAGGTGATTGCTACTCAAATTTTATTTAACTCAGTCGCTGCGGGAGTACTCCATTTTGCATAATTACGCAAGAGAGCGTAGTGATCTCACGGTAATATGATACATCCCACAATGAAACTTTACGAGTTACAGACAGTTAGTTCGATAAGACAGTTGGTTCAGGTAAGACAGTTGGGGTAGACACACAGTTGGATACAGTTAGTGTAGACAGTCAGAGCGGAGGAGATTGGCGACGAAAGAGTTGGGTCGATGACTGACTGAATGACAGGTCGGTTCAGTACATCTCACAACTCTGCGATAACATATAATTAGACCTGGAAGGAACGTGCAAATCTGGCTGTGTATAAATAATGAAAATGTCTTGAAGTGACAGTGTAAATAACGCTGAGCAGCTAAAATATCACCTATGCCATTCCCAGAAGGTACATGCCCCAAATTCAACCCAGACAGCGTCACTTATATCCCCCTGATGACGTACCACAGCCATCCACCAAGCTCGATAGCAAAAAAATGGCCGCGACCCCGATGTTCCAAAAACAGTGCAGTAGCTTCGATTTATACAGTCGCTAGTGCAGTGATTGGTGACAATAGTAGTGTAGAAATGGGTGTAGGGGATGCAGGTGTCAGGAATGCAGAGATTGGTGCAGTCAATAGTGAGAGGATTGTCAAAAAACATATCTCAACCAAAACGTCTGTTTCTTTGACAAGGTTCGTTTATTTGACACTCAACTGTCTGTATATTGAAATGCGTCTTGTTGGGGATATTGTTTTCAATGCGTTGTCCAATGTTCATTATAGCATCGTTGCAGACAAAATAGAAGCGCCTAAAGTAACAACATTTGTGATAGGTTACTGATGTTTAAATTTTGAAGAGCTGATATTTTTTAGAAATACTGGTATGCGATATTTTCACATTACACCTAATTTAATTAACTTCTACTCCCTAGCTAGTGACAAATGATGGAAGATAATGCGGGATAAATCCTAATGTGGGTCGATCCTCTTGCTTTCTAGAGTGTCATTGTGACAACCACTGTCCAAATAAGCCGGGGGTGAGGGATACTACGTACATATGTATATAATATGTAACATGTACGACACTTTCACATTACAGCTAATTTAATTAATTTCCAGGGTATGGACAAATATGCTGTTATAGCTTAAAATAATGGATTTCCAATTGCAGAAAACCTTTGTAATAATAATAATATTAAGCGCGAATTTCCTGTCAAATATATTTTCCAAGCCTATTGCTAGGCATTCTATTTTTTTACAAACCTATATAGTCGTATGTCCCCATCACTGTCTTCTTTAAATTCCTCAAGAGACGTTATTCTAATCCTGGCTGTCTCTTGATTTGCTTTCATCTCCAGTAAAATGTATGATTTGCCAAACACCCCTTTTTTTCTCTGCTACAATCCCTGAAATAAGCAAATTATATACATTACTATTGTTATGAACAACATTTCAATATAGTATTAAGTACGGCTTTGACCGTAATGTCTTAGTTGTATAATACACATTAACATCGATGCAAGGTATGTAATATACATTGGTGTCAAGTATTTATCTACGGCGTAGTAATTGTCATCGGTTAACAGTTGCTGATATTCATTATTACTGTTTTGAACAATATATATGATTAAAGTCATATATTGAAAATGTTACGAGAACGCACTGTTTATTGTTTACTTATTTTTTCACATTATATGAATTTAAATTCATTTTTCTTAATGTGATAACCAAAGATCACTGAAACTAATGGGTAACCCTTTTGTTT